CCAGGTAATTTCGTTTATTTTTTCCATGTCAGCAGTGTCCTAGCTTCTATAGCAATACAGGACTGTGTAACTACAATGCATTACGAAGATTACTCGAGCTGTTTGTAGAGTTGGAATCACTATTTTACGTATTAACAGGATTTGCTAGCACTCAAAGAAGCCTATACAACCCGCCCTGCAGTGGAGGAGACGATAAACGACCCAACAAATCCAAAACACTACTGGCAATATCGTGAGTGTTTCTTTTTTCTTTAAATGGAAACTATAAACTGTTCTTTTCCTTTTCTTTTCCTGTTATCGTCGCCAGACTGTTCTTTATCATTCATTCCCGAACTTCTGTAAAATGGAAAAAGGCGTGGGAACATAACCAACTTAAAACGGGCAAATATGCATTTTTCTGAGGTGAATTTCGCTAAGCATTTCCTGTGCAGGTGTACACGTGACAATGGAGTCCTTGCTCAAAGATAAAGAGCTGACGGGTATCATCAAAAATCTCGTCCATGGGAGCGGGAGATCTTATCCGGGAAGGCTGCAGGATGTTGCTAGCGATCAAGGGAAAAGTGTTCCCTTGGCAGGGTAGGGAAGTGGAGTTTCCCAGAAAGAAATAGCAGCAGTCTAATGAGGTTGATATTGCTTTTATTCCACTTCTAGATAGTAAATTATGCAGGACTGGCAATTGCTACTTTTACATTTTATGGTAGATTTCATGCTATTTATGTTGCTGTCATACACTGTAATCTGAATAATGATTATACATTTCTTCTGCTGCAAATGTTCATAGTAATAATTAATAAAGTGCATCTTTCCCACCTCCTTTGAATCCAAATACATAGTTCACCATGCATATTCTGGACCTTGGTCTAGATTGTATATACATACAATTAACATTTTTTTTAAAGCAACTGAAGAACGGCATATATTAAAGATAACCAGCAATAGTGTCATGAGGGATAACATCCCAGTACATGGCAATAGTCTGAGTAAAAGTTGAAGAAGCAAGTATATGAGCTATTAAATTAGCTGACCTAGGAATAAAATTAAAAGAGCAATAGGCAAAAGAAGCACTATAAGATCTGCAACCATCAATAGCGTAGAGTATATGAGCTATTAAATTAGCTGACCTAGGAATAAAATTAAAAGAGCAATAGGCAAAAGAAGCACTATAAGATCTGCAACCATCAATAGCGTAGCCAACGTAAGAACGGATAGATCCTGTAGTCGAGGACAAGTAGTGCTGAAGAGTAGTTTGTGTGGACCTCCACCCTCTGTTCCCCTCGTCCCCTAAGCCAGGACAAGGTTTCCTTGCACACAAGCGCCTCGGCCATTAGTGGAGAGAAGCAGTCCGGCAGCCGGCTGTTTATGAAGGCCGCAATGACAGCACAGCACTGACCGCGGCACACTGCGTCGTGGGCTGATATACATACAATTAACATATTATGTACTTTTAACAACTCTCAACGCATTGCCACCGAATATCATGTGACGTGCGGTGCTCTTCCAACCACTGAATCTTATCTCCGGATGAGCCATTTCTAGGTAGACATACTTTAAAAAAAAAAAAAAAAAAAAAAAAAAAAAAACTTCTCGAGACACTCTACCATGTCTTGATTCAAGAGTCTTAACATAATTTCCTTTTTGAGGCACAAGTGAAACAATCTCGCTGTTGGTTATGCTTCTCTCGACCTTTAGGATCAACTAACCTATGTGCAAGAACCGTTCACATGGAGCTTTTCCCAACTATTGATAACGATCGATAAAAATCTCTATTAGCTAATAGTTTGAAAATTTACAAGCCAAAGTGAAAATATTTTCATTTTGATAGTAATAATTTTGATAATTTGTTTCAGAGGCAATGATCTGGAAAAAAAAAAAGAATAAACTTTATATTAATAGCATTGCATTACAGATATTCATAACTCATAAATACGAAGTACAAGTTAAACTACAAAGAGACAGTTCTCCTATAAAGTATTTCATCATCACTCTCCTCTTCTTCTTCTTTTGATACAATCTCACTTCCTGGTAGTTCTAACTTTCCACCCATAACAAAAGATGGACCATTACTTTCAGCCTCTATAAAATCACCATACAATCTCTCTTCAAATCTTTGGTCACTGCAGTTGAGAAACCAAGCCAGTGAACATTTGATTCCCTTGCTCTGTAACCTATGGTATCTCGGCTTTATTCTCGACTCCAGGCTATACGTGAAGTATTCTGGAAACTCGACAAGTTCTTTCATAGGCCTAGCCATTTCAGTTTTGAAAAAGTAGTAGCTATTTTTCATCATACCGACTTGTAAAGCAACCAACTGAGGGCATTTCACGACCATCTTTGTCACATCATCGGATGGAAACCCCCGTCCAAGAAGGAACTCGACAGGTTTCATTATTAGATGCTGGTTAAGACTAACGATCTGTGGCATCCTCTCGATTACACGAGCAAACCCATCAGGATCGATTTTCAGCTTTAGGTTGAAGAAGTACTGTTGTGAAGACAGTTTTGCCTTCAATGGCAAACCAAGAATCTGTGGGTGTTGAGCTATGACAGACGGGAGAACTTCTCTCTTAATACCAAAACTTGTCAAACAGTCCACATTGGGTTTCACAGTCTCTTCAAGATCATATCCAAGTAAATATGCTCGCTTCTCAAGCATCCTGGCCAAAATTTTCTTTGGTAGACCAAGCGAAACCAAATAATCCACAAGCGGTTTAATCATTGTCCCAACTCTCATCCCTAAAAGATACGGATATTGTGTCACCATTGGACCTATATCTCTTGGGTTAACCCCTATACTAACCAAGTAGGCCACAGATGTACTCATCGTCCCCTCGAGCTTAAACCCTAACAGCTCCGGATACTTCATCAACACATAACCAATATCTTGCTTCTCAACATCAAGGCCCCTGAGAAACCTAATAACCGGAACAAGCTCAACCACAACACTAGCATGGAGACACTGCGGATAATTTTTCACAAACTCACCAAGCCTTGGCTTTGAAATCCCAATCTTTTCTAAATACGATAAGACAGGAATCATGTTCTTCCTTACACTACACCCCAGGATTAATGGATACTCATTCATGTCATCAATAGTTAAACCTATTTTCTGCAAGAACTCAACTCGCTCGCGCATAACTTCCACAGTGGAAGGCAACTCCAAATCCTCTAATTCGTCAGGGACTATGCCTATACTCTTCAAATAGTCACAAACTATAACCCGTGACACGAGTTTTTCTTTGCGCCCTTGGATTACCCCCCATGTCACCGAAGGCATTTCATATTCAGGGAATTTAGAGGATTGTGTTGAGAAGGGCAACATGGCTTCCGCCCTGGGAAGACATTTGTTTTGTTGTTGGGGGTTTTGGGAGGGTTTAAGAAACTGGGTTCTATGGCGCTTGAGGATTTCTTTGATGGGTTGGTTTCTTCTAACAATGGAAGTCATTTAAACAAACAGATAGAGTGCAACCACAATAACCCAAGAATTGAAACCAATAAAATGAGTACCTATGTAAATATGGAACTAGGCTTCATTGGATAGAAGATGGTGCAGCATCTCACTTACTGGAAACGCCATTTCTCCGCCACGAAGTCCAACCAGCACTCCGTCGTGAAAACCACCGGTAAGAAGCTGATGCATAAAAGAACTGAGTGCCCTGCTAATTACTGGGAAGAGGATTCCAAGGGATTCTGCACTTGAGACCGCTGACTACGAGAGGTCCAGATTATGAAGGAATAAGAGAACTGTCAACCATGGCTACGGTGGCGCATTCTCCGGCGGCCTGGCGGGGCTGTAGAGAGGATTATTGGAGCTTGAGACAAGAGCAGAAGATTGTGAGGAAACTAATATGGGTTTCTAAATGGTGGGCTAGGGATCAGTGACAAAATAGGCTTCTAAAATTTGGGCCATAACCCGAGTAGAAATTAAACAGCCCAAGCTGAATAGAAATGACAATAAAAAGGTTTTTTCAAGTCACAATCATTATTGCATAGACGATAAATAAAAAGTACATTTTTAATATATTAAAGGTACACTATTTATGTACGTAAGGTACATTTTTGAAAGTACATTTTTAATATATTAAGAGTATATTATTTTATTATTATAATGTACTTTCAGTACAAAAATAATATACTTTTAATACATTAAAAATGTACATGATATTCATAGTCCACACAATAATTTACCTAAGTTCTAAGCTAGTTCGTCTTAAATTGACTCGTGACCATTTCAACAAGTTCAAGTATACAAATGTTTGATTATTTTCCGATAAGATCGTCGTTAGGACCATCATATTGCCAACCATCGATGAACTGATTGGATTAACCAGCCAAACTTAGCTTCAATTGCATTAAATATTGAACATAAGCAAAAGCCTCAATAACGGTTTGACGATAGTAAAAAGTCATAACTAACTCAGTAGCTACTTGTACTAAAAACAAGTAATCCCCTCTAAATAATAGAATAGATTGACACGTAAGACATATTTACTAGCTATATCATCCGCAATTTCCTAAATCTCTAAACTTCCCTGAAATCAATTATAGACTTTACTAAAATAAATGAGATTCCCTCTTCGAGTATTCCTCGTTTGATGAAGGTCACTTCATTGTCTCTAGTTTGAGTTTCTTTGATAAAAATAAAAATAGTAAAATCAATCCCTTCAATTGTAGGAGTAAGACAATGTCACCAATTTACACTTCCAATATTTAAAACGAAACTAGTGTCGCTGGGTCACTCTCCTGTGAAGATACCCATACAAATGCTGAAATGTTGCGCGTTGCTTTCTTCTCACTAAAAGACGTAAAGCTTTATCTTTTCCCTCACATTCCTGATCTCTCTCACAGCCTGCCAAAGTGCCAATGCATTCATGTTCACTTTCTTCTTAACACAAAAATAATATCTGAGTGTTGATATTCCGTGAGCTTCTTTCTTGTATTTTCTTCCCTTTAGCGATTTCTTGGTTTTCTCCACGTTTTCTTAGACGAAATATCAGAAGTAGGAAACCAAGAAAAAAGAATGGTAGATATGCAACAACAAATCAAGCAACCAAATAAGAGTGAGGAGGAGGAGGATATATCCAATTTACAAATCTGGTACCACTTTCCCTGACACATTCTCAACTGACCTCCTATCTTTACAAGGAATAATAATCACATCTGACATTAGATCACAGCTTATCCAACACAAACTCTTCAAAATTCCAAAAGAAGAAAAAAAAAACCAAAAAAAAGGTAACTCCAATGGTATTTGTACTACAGACTGATTCATGGGACTGCAACACCATCAACAGATCCATCTCAAGGGATTTTCATCATACGCTATGTGACTTATCTCAGCAGGTCTGTTGAAACCTCTGTGAATGTGGCTTTTTGGCACATTTATAAAGCCGAGAGCAGCAAGTCACCAAGAAATACTTTGTATCGATTATGGACAAGCTGCATGAAATGCGTGTTAATTTGCTTCCTGAGTTGGGAGCAATGCCACTTTGGGAGCAGCCTGCAACAAGGACTCAAACAGCCTTCTTACTATTGTTTCTAACCTTGGGACAGCACCCAAAGTAACCCAAAAAGTGACAGAAGAGTTCTGTCCTTGAAATAATTCTTGAGACCCTGGAAGGTGTTGGGAGTCCAAATATAATAAATACAGCTGCATAGAAGGTGCCCATCTAATTAGATGTATCAATCTCCTTTCCATGATCTTCCTCAAAAACGTGTCTCTTCAACCTTCTTAGCCAGATTGCATAATCTAACGGATATGGTGTTCCACAAAGGCTGTCAACATAATCTGCAAATGCTTTCAAAACCGCAGATATATCTCCAAGATTCTGCTGAATTAGCCTCTTTGACCAAGAGGTTTCCCTCCATTGCAGTGCTCCCTCAACTGAATCCAACTCAGGCATATGACCACCAGAAGAAAAATAAAGCATGTACACCAGGCTCTCGGCATCAGAAGCTGAGCACAGTTTCCCTTCCTGAAGGGCATAAGTAGATGAGAAATGAAGGTTCATTGCAGGACGGTCCCTCTCTTCCAAAATGGCATGTCCCCAACCAATAAGGATAAAATAAGGCTGCCTCACACCAGATGTAACATAGATAACATTCTCTGGCCTGATGTCCCCATGCCGAATTCCTGCTGAGGCAGCTGACGAAAGGGCAGACAAACAGTCATGGCAACACCTAATAGCCTCGTCAGTACCAAACTGACCATCTCTCACCATGTCGGCAACTGTTTTACCAACAGGACTAGTGGCTAGGATTGAGGTCCCACACCATGGATGCTCACAGTTACCACCTGAGCTTGATCTCCGGCACTGACCAGGATGAACTATCCGGCCAGATGCACACAACTGAGGCAGATACTTGCAAGACAAACCCTTCTGTTTCATGACGCACAATACTTTAGTTTGCCTTTGAACTTGATACCACAATTTCATATCTTCCCAAGCTGGTTCCAGCTGCGAAGGATGAGACCCAACATAAAGAAATAAATATTTCCCTGGATCATCAACAGGGGAAGCAATATAATATGTTATCTCTCCATCACTCAGCATTTCATTGATATGATAACCTTTCTGCAAGTTTGAATCCTCTATCAACATAACAGAACCTACTTCTAGCATCATAGGTTTATTGGACTCCAACCTTATGGATTCTTCTTGTACTTCTACAATTTCAGGTGAAGCAGAACGCTGTTGGAGCCGGAATAAACCATTTCCATTGACCCTGTTATCACCTAATTGCCTCTCAATTCGTCTTGATTGAAGACGAGAACTGTGGTCAGCAGCTAAATCTTCAACTGAGTTTTTTGACATACCAGCATACTGTGTGATTGAATGGAAGGTGGCAAAGAGTACCTGTAACGCACCAATATCTCCCCAGTTTGCATTTCCAAGCTTGTTCCAGATCCTATCAATTGGGGAAATCGAAATTGACGCATGATTTATTATCCATTCAGCAGCACAACCATAAACATTATTCAAATCTATTTCCAACTTGCTCACATCTCCTTCAATTTTCATCACCCCACCATACTGAGAATCAACCAGTAGGACAAAGACAGAATTCAAACTGAGAGGAATGTTGGATTTGCTGAGGCTTCTTGCAACCAATACACGTATAGCAAAAAATAAAGCTTCATTGATAATGGAGAGAGAAGGCTTACGGTTGTTATCTAATGTGGCAAGGCTACCAATATCAGGTCGAAGAAGTGCTAATTCAAGAATATCATCCCACTTTCCCTGTGCATGCCTTGGATTCTTTAGGATTATTGCTGTGGCACAAATACCCCCAAGTCTCCCTTTAGAAATTGCCTTCTCAGCCTGGTAGAATTTCAAGTTTGTGTTGTACACACAAGAAACATAGAAAGGCAAGGGTTCATCCTGACCCCAAAATGCCTCCCACAAGCCCTTCACACCTGCATGCAGAAAATCTTCAAGGGCAAGGTAAGCAGTGGCTTCCACCGCACCAGATGTGGAGGCATAAACAGCACTAGGCATCCGAATCAGTTGCTGAAAGGGAACTCCTTCCAATGCATAATCAAATTTTTGGAGATCTATCAACTCAAAGGGTGTTTCAAAAGGAAGTGCATCATGTGCTGATTTTTCTGCAATTTCTTCAAACCATGTTGTAAGGTTTGTTGTCAGTATTTCACTGTCTGTAAATCTACGGAGGAACTCTTTGCGGTCTTGAACTCTACCACCTGAAGATATAGTAGATATCTTTGCCACAGATTCCACTGACTCGCGGTCTGGGGACCCACCTGTAACATTCAGTTCAAATGTTAAAAAACATCAAGCTTGCTAGAATTTTGACATTAGAAATGGAGGATAAAAGGATACAACAGTTACAGCCACATGACAAGAAATATAAACAGATCTAGTAACATCTACAAAATCCATTTTTTTAAAGCATGCTTATGGACAGTGAAAAGACAATATATGTTTCAGGACCTTAAATGATAACAACTCCATAAGATTACTAACACCCTAAGAGATTAACCCATCCATGATTCCATGCTAGCCCAATATTCTTGAACCTTGATACTTCCCAGTGTATGTTCAGTATTCATTGTTCACGGGGAGAGAGAATCAGTTCTGAATGGAATGCTATCTACATGCCCTGCTTCCGTGTTACATAGATTAACTTATAAAGTATAACAGCAAGATAAAGATCAGAAAATTTTTGTGTTGTGTAACTTCAAGACATTTTTAAATGAGTTTAGTGAAAGCAAACCTCTATATAAGTAACAATACTCCATCTTTTAAGAGAGAACAATAGAAATTCCATCCTCATGTTAATTGATGAGTGATGACATGCATCATGTTCTTCAAATAACATTGGTTTGACATTTATTTTATGCCTTTTTGCATTTACCAAGACTAAAAGAACAAAACTGCATATGTTCAGGAAGGCACATTCTTCTTTGCTGTGTGATAGGAAAGCAAGCAGTCACAATAATCAACTTCCCCTTCTATAGATGCCAAGAAGGGAGGGAGGGAGATCATATATCCAGTACATCATTATGCTAACCATGTATCCAGCACCTAACAAGTTCCAAACTATACTAGAGAGGCCAATAAAACCTAAAAATTGAATGGCACACATATTTATAGGAAACTGAGTTCAAGAAAACTTCCCACATGTGTAAAAAAGTATATAGCTGTTTGACTCAAATGACTGTTGCCAAACATTTTTATCAATTATTTTTCTCCCATGTTAATTCCTAAGAAGTAAATCAGGTAAATACATTTCATCCATATTATTTTTGTATTATACCTTCCCATGTCCAAGAGAATTTAAACATTTTGACACCCAAATTGGTTTATTACTGCACTTCGACTATTGCATTCACCAGACACTCTAATAATCGCATCAAAAGTTCAGATAACTGATTCATCCTTGTCACTACTTTTTCAGAAAAATTATTTCCAGAGATTCAACCAAACGTCCATAAATGCAGATATTTATAATTTATCTTAGGCAAAATGCAATCCCTGCCTTCGTATCTTCACATTGCTTCTAGAATAAATGAGCTCAATTTACTTATTAAAAACAAAAAGTTCAGTTTAAATTCTCCTCATTCCTCAACAGAACGATTCATACAAAAATCCGAACACTCATCCGGGGATCAAAGCAAACTTACAAACACATCATCACTCACAAGCCCAGGAACTCGCCAACCAAATTATCAAACACAAAATTCAGAGACATCTAAACTCAATAACACTTCCTCACAGCAAACTATCACGATTCCAGATTCAAAAGTCAAAGCTAAGTAAACCACACGGTGAAATAACCACTACATCTTAGGGTTTTCAGAGGAAAGAGAAGACGTAATGGAACATTTACCTTCCATTATTCACGGAGTGGAAATAACTGAAGTTCCGGTCAGATCGTCGGCCGCAACGAACGCATCGCTCAGCAAGCAAAGTCACCGACGACTACACTGCCGCTATTTACTCTCTCTCTCTCTCTCTCTCTCTCCCTCACTAAAACTATTTTCTCTCTCTAGAACACTCTCTTCCCTGCCTCGGTGGTTATGTCTGACCGAAGAGTATTATTTTACTTTTTATTTTTGGTTTTATTTTTTATATTTTTTATTGGTTTTTGATTTATTAGTTTGTTTGTTTGTATTTCTCTTTTTTCCATTCGGACCAAAAAAAGAGAATAAAGGCATTGTAAGAAGAGACAATGATTAAGCAAGGCGGCAAACGTTATTTTTTGTCAAGTCGTATTATTATTGTGGTCACCCTCTCAATTTTGTCTAATAATGACTGATTTTAGAGCGAGTAATACTATACAATACTTTTTCACATTAAGTAAAAATTATCATGTTGTGAATGTTAAGATTCGATTATATATTTTTATTTACAATTTACAATTTATACACAATAACTAATTGAGTTATTCGTGCGAGATATATTTATATATATTTTCATTTATTACAATATACTTACATATGTTCTTTTTTTTTTTATTACTCATGTTCTAAAGTATAAATTTTATGAATCTACAGTATAGAAATTATGAATTTACATTATAAAAATTATGGAGATGAAACTGTGCCCACCTTACAAAGTGGGCACGTGCTCATAGCATAACGTTTCATTGTAACGGGTTCTGAATTCTGAATTCAATTCTAGTACAATTAGTCTGTGAATTTTCTCTCTTAATTTTTCTTCTTATTTTAGGGTTATGTTAATTATCCCGTGGCCATAAAACCAAGAAGACTGTTAATAGGGCCCGCATGAGTAGCTCAACTGGTCATAGAGATGAAACTTTGGAAGAATGACCCGGGATCGAGTCTCACCAGCGGCAGTGTGGGAGCAACCTCTCAAAGTGAGGGGGGCTCCTTGTGCGCAGTGAGCACCGGACTAGCCTCTATGGTTCATGTTACATCCTCCCAAATGCTCTGTCGGGCCGGGGTGTGGAGAGCCCAAGAAGACTGTTAATAGGTTGTTATTAGGACTTAATTAGGATTACCCGAGTATGGTGAAATAGAGCAATGCAAGAGCAAATCCAGGCAAAACTACATCTTGCTGCAAATACACATTCCAAGCACTGATATAGGGAATTGTCGACACCCGACCACCTATTTTTCCCCACCAGCTGCTGCTTTCAGATGTCTCCATTAATGGATTTCTGTCTGAATTAAGGAATCTTTCCTCTTCATGACAAACAGAGGGGCTTATTTCCACACTGTTTGGCAAAGATCTCAATGCCCTTCTCTGGCTGCTTTCTCTTAATGCAGGAACCCCATTGGATACAGATGTTAGAAGCCAGTATTCCATGCAAACTGATATCATATTCCACAGGGCCAGAGCCATAGCTGATGCAGTGAGGGAGATGAAACTTATGATGCACCCTAAATCGATTCTCCTTATTATTGAATTCATGTTTGTCTGCAGCTCAGAAGGATGGTCTTCTGATATCACCACCACCCTGCAAATGAGACTTTTTTCGAGCTACCGGAGGGTGTACGTGCGTTAAGTGAACTCCGCTTTGTGATCTTAGCTGGTAAATGATCAAAATGAAGTAAACTAACTTAGGTTACGTTGTTCATAACTGATGGACTTAAATCAATAAGGACCAACTTAAACTAAGAGTTGAACTTGTAACTTTAAGAAGCACACTCAACAGCGCCGTAAATAGCTGCAAGGCTTAAAGAATTTGGCCATATATTGTAGGGTACTCGAGGGAACAACCTCAGGGGTTGTTCCTTTCCTACCAAGCAGGTACCTCTTAGTGGAAGTATCAATGATGATACTCAAGCCTATAGGATGAATCGATCTCAAAAGTCCAGTGCCAACGTAGGGTACTCGGGGGACTACCCTAGAGAGCTTTCACTACAGACCCTTTCTTAGAATTGGGAGGTACCTTTCTCGTTAGCACTGTACTGACTCTTTGAGATCACTAATAATTAAGTATTACTCAACAATTTCTTGTTATCACATTATGAGTTTGAATTAGCACCATTATCTCAATTATACAATTCTTGTTTTGCACTTAGAATCCTCTAAATTTCTCAACTATTAATTGAACCTTCTATATTTCTTTCACTTGCAATAAAATGAGTTTTTGTATTAGATGATTGCATGAAGTTGTAGCAGAAAGATCAGAATACTGAAATTAAGTTTAAAATACATGCAGAAACTGATCATACATATATAATGATATATATTATAAGAAAGAAAGCAAAGAAAAAACCTGGCAGTCCATCTGGAAAGGAAGTGTCCAACGTAAAGATATGAAAGTAGAGAAGATGGGAATGGGGGCTGCTGATTTTCTTGATGAAACACTGCTGCCTCATTCATCGTACCGCCGTTTTCTCGTACTTGTTTTGCTACGGATTTCAAGGTTGTCCTCTATCAAAAATTGGGGGTTTTTTTTTTTATAGATGATTTAGGCGACGTCGACGATCACACTGGCCGGCAACAAAGGCTTGGGAGAAGAGTTACGTAAGTTGTAGTAATAGATCATGGATTCATAGTCAACGTGGCCACTAATCAAATTAGAACCAAAATGTCAAAGTGCCATAATTGTTATTGTTATTTATAAGAGTAAAAGACATTTTTGGACATAGACTTATAGTGGTTTGGACAATTTTAGTTCTTCATAACAAAAATTTGTCATTTTTTGGACAGATTTATTATGACGAGGACAATTTTAATCCTCCGTCTATTATGTCGTTAGTTGATCGTTTAAATGAGGGGTATTTGTGTCAATTCAGCTTATTCTCCTTAAAAAATGTCTTTTACTCTATTTATAATGACAATAAGTTCACTAATATAATACTCCCGTTGTATTTAGAGATGGAAATAGGCCGAGCCGAGCCGAGCTTTAGAAAATTAGGCCTGGGCCTGTTACGAAAATTTAAGGCCTAGGCCTGGGCCTGAGCCTGAGCCTGTATGTAGGCTTTTTGTTAGGCTCAAGCCTGAGCCTACAATTAGCATGGCCTGACCTGAATCCTTTTTAAAAGCCTGTTTAATATGTATAACATTAAAAAAGCTTGAAAGTAAGTTCTGCTTTGAGCCTATTTAAAACTTATATATTAAGTCTTTTTTAAAACTTTAATAAGTATTTCTAAATAATTTAAGAAAAATACCTAGCTAATACAAAATTAATATATAACTACATAAGTATATATATTGGTACAATGCAAACATAATAGTATTAAAACATATATAAAATAAAATAAAACAAGTCACAACTTCAACATGATTGTTAACTTGTTTAGGAATGAATTCAATTGTAATATTGATTGTCATCCTAAATTAGTTGTGTGGACCATAACAAAAAGTACATTTTTAATATACTAAATGTACATTATTTGTGTATTGAATGTACATTATATAATATAATGTACACTCAATATAAAAATAATGTACATCCCCTGAATACAATGTACATTATTTTTGTATTGAATGTACATTATTTTTGTATTGAATGGACATTATTTTACATTATACAAAATATGGTCCGCACAACTTGTATGGACCATGGTCCATGCAATAATGATTGATATAATCTCAACATAGGCTTCAAAATGAGCCCAAACCTGGCCTTTTTAATAAACAAGTCAGGCCTATGTAGGCCATAAATAGGCCGGGCCATAGGCCCCTATGTAGAGGCATGGCCTATTCCCACCCCTAATTGTATTAAGTATAATAGAAAATCAATGGGTAAATTAAAAATTAAAAATAAAAAATAGTTAACTGAATATTCCGTTATTAAAGTTTAATTATAGTGACCGAATGCAAGGTATTTAATAAAAATAAATAATACGAGTATAATATAGGGTAAAGTTGAAATAATAATAATAATAATAATAATAATAATAATAATAATAATAATAATAATAATAATAATAATAATAATATAAATCATCCATTTCAAAAAACAAGTATACCAACATTTTTTTAGTTGCAGTTAATTAGGAGTCTAACTTTATTGACTCTTATTAGGTTTGTAGAGGTAGATATTAGGTTTGTAAATTCATATATAATAAATAATCCAATTTTTTTTGGGTACATTTGAAGCCCTCACTGGGCACTATCTTCTTCTCTCAGTTGGAGATCTTCGAGCATCAGCTTCAAGGAGGCTAGAAAGGCCTATTGGCACCGAGTCCAAGATGAGCGTTCCCCAATCTATATTCTGGTCGAAATTCGCAAGTCAGTCAGCACATTGGTTCCCCTCTCGTTCAATGTGAGAAATCTTAAAATTATGAAAACGATTGATGAGGTCAATACAATCTTTTACTAACGCCACCACCGTATCTTCACTTTGATCTCTTTTGTTCACAATGGCCACAATTGTTGTCGCATCCATTTCCGCCCAAACCCTATAGAACCCTTCCCTCAAACAGAGTCGTAAACCCTCCTTTAGGCCCCACAACTCTGCTGAGAAGCTATCTGTGAACCCGATTCTGACTGCGAAACCTTTAACCCACCGGCCGCACTCATCCCGAATGATGCCCCCAGCACTTGCTAAACAACCGGCCGCACTCATCCAATTTACAAACAACTAATAAATATGAAGAATATCAAGTGGCTTGTAGTCCACTGATATCTGGGTGGTCCCTTATGTGGGAGGTTTAAAGTTTGAGCATCGATGTACTATAATATTATAGAGTTAATTCCATAAATGGTCCTTTGACTATAAGCATTTTTAACTTTTTTTATTATTGACTTTCAAATCAATCATACTTTATCCTCAAATTATTAATTTTGTTTCAAATTTGATCATTTGTTAAAGAACTTTGTTTGGGATGCACCAATTATGAAGGCAGAAGTGTAAAATCTAGTGTTTTGGTAGTATATTTCTTCTCCATTATTGTATTGTTTGTGTATAAGTCCATCATATCGTTGCAATTTGTATTGTCTGAAGTATATTATAGATCATAGAATTTATTATGTACAATCATGACAATTTTCATACTATTGATTTATTGAATGACATGTTTTTACCCTCATACGTAAACAATAATGGATAAGAAAGGCATGATACTGACGAAAGCCTATATTTC